GACGCGGGGCGACGCGGGGCGACGCGGGGCGACGCGGGGCGACGCGCTTCTCCGGGCTCACCTGCTGCGCTCTGTCTTCACAGAGCAAACTCTGGCCGGGGACCATGTCGACCGTGGTGGCACAGTCGCTGCACGCTTTTGGTCTTCGATCCCACGTGGCCAACAATGTCTTCTTCTTCGATGAACAGATCATTATATTTCCTTCAGGAAATTACTGTGTGAAATACAATATGGATCAGAAATGGCAAAAATTCATTCCAGGTAAAAAAAACACACACAACCCTTTCTATCCTGACACATTAACCTTATGTGGCAAATATAACCTCATAATTCCAACATGACGATTGAAAGGAAAGTTTTCTGGCCAATTTGAATAAATGTATAGTTCTCTAAATGTAGAAGAAATACATGTCTACTAGCATTACATGTAAAAATCACATGTAAAATAATGTTAATTTAAAAGTACTTTTTCCAGTGTGATTTAATGAAAAAAAAAAAAATTTTAGAGAGTCTCTTTTCGTGCTTCTTCAATTTCATTGCCCTTGTCATCACCAATGCCACTTTTTGAGCACACCACCCTCATTCCAGCACCTTTTGAATTCATGTATGATGAAGACAGTGGAGATTTTATCTCAAGTCACAAATATAACCATTTGTATAATGTTACATTTGTTTTGGGTCACATTGGTCCTGTTGATGATATACATGATTTCCACAACTTAATCACTTATTCTCTCTTCCTACTCTTTGTTGCATGTAGTTTTACCATATATGTGTAACTCCATGGGATATACTTTTGTTTTTGCCATTTACTACCTTTATAGAAATGGAATCATAGCATATACATTCTGTGACTTGCTTCTTTTGTTCAACATTATGCTTTTTAGATGGTGCATCATCATACATATTACATGCATCTTGAGTTCATTTTATTGCTACATAGTGTTCCATGGTATGAATCTAATGTCTCAAATATATCCATTCTGGTGTTAATGGGCATTTGGGAAACAACAGTTTTTTGCCATTACATGTCAGTATAAAATGTCTTGCATTCATGTATGCTCATCCACTGTGCAGAGATTCTCCAGGGCACACAGCCAGGACAAAAATTACTGGGTAATATGGTAGCACAAATTTACACTCCCACCAGGAGACCTGCCATTCTTCCACAACCTCATCAACCCTTGGTATTGTCCAACTTCCTAATTGTTTGCTAATCTAGTGGTTGAGAAAGGGTATCTTATTGGTCATAGTGTGTATTTCTCTATTACTAATGAGGATGAATATTTTTTCACATGTTTGCAGGCTATTCCTATTTAGTCTTCTGTGAAATGCCTTAGTCATGTCTTTTACCCATTTTTCTATGGGATTTTTTGGGTAATTTTCTTACTGACTTATGAGCATGCTTTCTATATTCTGTATACCAATCCATTCTCAGATATATGTATTGCAAATAATTTCTACCAGTTTGGGGCTTGTGTTTTCTCCCTCCTTATGGTATCTTGATGGACAGAAATTCTTAGTTTTAATGAAGTTCATCCACCTTTTCCTTTTTGTATCTTGCTCAGGAATTGCCCCCTAACCCAAGATTATTAATATATTCTCCTATATTATCTCTTTTGTGCGTTATACTTCTGTCTTTCACCTTTGAGTTAGGAGGGTGCTTAGTGTGTTAAGGGAATAGCAGGGAAGCCAATGTGGCTGGAGTGGGGCGAATGGAGGAGTAGAGAGTGAGAGGTGAGGCAGAGCAGCATCGCATGGGGCTTTGTAGGTCATAGACTCTTCCTGTGAGTGAAATGAGAAGTCATGGGGCGATTCTGAGCAGAGAGAGTAAGATGATCTGACTTATGTTACAACAGGTTCATTTGGGCCACTGTATAGAGAATAGATTTAAGGAGGGAGCAGGAGACCAGTTGAGAAACTATTGCTATGATCCAGGTGAGAGAAAATGGTGTCACAGAGCAGGCTGTAGGTAACAGGCATGGTGAGAAAAAAATCAAATCCTGGGTATATTTTGAAAGTGGAGGTGACAGGTTTTCTCAGAGACCTAATGTGGGGTGGAAGAGAAAAAGCAAGATTTCTGGCCCAGTTAACCAGAAGGATGAAGTTGCTGTTAACTGAGACAGAGGAGTTACCCATAAAGCACAGTAGACACAGAGCCTAAGGCCCATGATATATTTAGGGACCCCATAAAATGTTTTAATTTTAACTTACTTTAAAATCAGAAAAAAATAATACAATAATAATGAATATATCATAATGAATCCAGCCTGGATATATTTCTCTTTATACCAATGCAATCACAAAATGTACTTTTTAGCATTCTTTAATGGAGGAATAGGCTCCTGAAAGCAATAGTACCATGAAAATCAGGTCCATGAACATCATAACATGGCCCTGATTGCATTTCCCAAATAAAGTATTTGCACTTTCATCTCTGCCTTAGGTGCTGTAGTGTAGAGGACCATAGCTTTCATTCTCATACTTCTTGCCTTGTGGTTGCAAGATGACTGCAGTATCTCCAGATATTACCTCTGTATTCCAGGGAAGGGGAGACAGAATCCATCCATCCCTGGTTTTCAGGAAAGCGCAAGCTTTACCATAAAGCCAGTCAGCAAACTTCTGCATCTATCTCATGGCCAGAATGTCACATAGATCTACCTAACTGCGAGGGAGGCTGAGGAATCCAGTAGGTAGCATCCCAGGCTTGAAAGCTAAGGAAGAGTATTGAGTGTTGCCCACTCAGGGCATAAAGACCTATGTGACCTGACCCTATTCCACCCCTCTAGACCTATCTGACAGTGGCCATTCCTGGCTCCAGCAACATCCCACTTTCTCACATCCACACCTTTGCTCTTCCTGCCACCTGCCCTGTCCCACCTTGTCCTCCTTCAGGTATCAGTCCCTGACTTCTCCTCCCACCTTGGCCTCAGGGAGGTGCCTATCCTAGTCATTTTCATGATATCCCAGATATACTTGTTTCAAGGATCTTCACGGGTTGATAATTACCTGTTTCTGCACTTTTCTCCTATTGCGTCAGCGGTGTCTGTTCATGTGGGATCTTGGCGATCTAGCCTCATTATTCCATTTTACCTGTTTGCAGGCTCAGACAAGAGTCAAGCCATGTTAGCCTTGTCCATCAGCCCCAATCGGCGATACCTCGCTATCTCTGAGATGGTGCAAGAGAAACCTGTCATCACCATTTATGAACTGTCATCCATGCCATGCCGGAAGCGCAAAATCCTTAATACTTTTGACTTCCCAGTTCAGAAATTTACTGGCATGGCTTTTTCTCCAGACTCCAAATACCTGTTGACTCAAACATCACCTCCAGAGTCCAACCTTGTCTATTGGCTGTGGGAAAAACAGAAAGTAATGGCCATTATTAAAACCGACTCTCAGAACAACACTGTCTACCAGGTATCTCCCCGGCATAAAAAGTATCGTGCAAATTATAAAAAATAGCACAGGCTCTCTTTTATTGAATGCTTTCTATGTACTAGAAGCAGCATTAATTTCTTAACATGCATTTTTTAATTTAGTTTCACAATAAATGGTATGCATAATTATTATCCCTAATATACTGATGAGGGAACTGAGGCTTCAAAAGGTTAAGTTACCTAAGATCACAGAGATAGTGGATGGCAGGACGAGGAGTCCCTGACTCCAGTGCCTGTCTCCTTTACTCTGGCCTAGAACTGCTTTCTGGTCACAGGTCAGCCCAGAGACGAATTGATGAAACTCGCTCACTCTTTCTGGTTCTGGTCTATTTCCAGCAGCACTGCTAGGCAATGAGACTTCAGGGATGTAATGTGAAGTGGTAGATCTTTAAGAAGCTGTCAATGAAATTGCAGTCATTTGGGGAGCAGAGTTCTCTATTGTGTTTTGAAGGCAAACTAAGGAGCACTTGTTAGGAAGATGGTTTACTGCTCAGGCAGTGGGTCCCAGGGAGTTTTATCCTGGTGCAGTCAACCCAATCTAGGGCCTAGAACTCAGTTTTACAGGTTTTCAGGAACTCAATTCTG